TTTTTGTCAGTTTATTTTCAATGAGCCTTCAGAAAGAGTGAAAGGGAAGCTTGGTCTTCTCCTCTATACATGTCAGTGTCCCCACTAGACTGAGCTCTTCCAGGTCAGGGACTATGTCTTATTCATCTTTGTATTCATAGTATCTGGCACAGTATGTACCAGTACAATATGTACCATGTATACCAGCAGAGTACGTACTAGTATATACTAATACCACTACAGCATGTACCAGAGCACCTAGTATAGTATGTAATAGTTGCTACTGAATGAAAGATTAGGCCACACAGAGGCTTTACAGATAAACCAAAAGGAAGCTGAGCTTTAAAACCAAAAGCAACTGGAAATCTGCATTTAGGTGTTGTATTAGTCTGTTCTCGCATGCTGTAAAGACATACCTGAGACTGGGTAATTTATAAAAAAGACAGAGGTTTAATGGGCTCATGGTTCTGCGGGTTGTACATGCGTCTGCTTCTAGGGAGGCCTCAGGAAACTTACAATCATGGGGCGAAGGCAAAGGGAAGCAGGCAGGCTGGGAACAGTGGCTCATGTCTGTACCCAGAATTTTGGGAGGCTGAAGTGGGAGGATCACTTGAGTCCAGGAATTCGAGACCAGGCTGGGCAATGTGATGAAACCCTGCCTCTAAAATAAAAAACAAAATTAGAATAAAATAAAAATTAGCTGGGTATGGCATGTGCCTGTAGTCCCAGCTACTCTGGAGGCTAAGGTGGGAGGATGGTTTGAGCCTGGGAGGCCAAGGTTGCAGTGAACTGAGATCATGCCATTGCACTCTAGCCTGGGTAACAGAGTGATATCCTGTCTCAAAAAAAAAAAAAAGGAAAAGAAAAGAAAAGGAAAAAAAAATTTAAAAGGGGAGGCAGGCACATGTTCACATGGCCAGTAGGAGACAAAGAGAGAGTGAAGTGGGAGGTGCTTTCAAACAAGCAGACCTTGGGAGAACTCTATCACAAGATAGCACCAGGGGAATGGTGCTAAACCATTAGAAAACCACACCCATGATTCAATCACCTCCCACAAAGCCCCACTTCCAAGCCTGAGGATTACAATTCAACATGAGACTTAGGTGGGGACACAGAGCCAAACATATCAGGTATCTACTGTAGCGACAAATATTAGGTTGCCAATGCAAATAATATCAAGTGTTAGTCTAAATTTGAAGAAGTTAATCCTCATTGTGGTTAATATGAGTCAGAAAAACAGAGCATATCAGAGAAATGAGGCTAAAGGTAGGAGTTCTAGGAAGAGTAATCATAGATTTAACCAATGAATATACCAGATTTTCTGCATAAAATTCAGTGTTTAATATTTCATTATTTTAGTCACATAATTGCCCTGTCAGACTGTGTTCTGTTATCTGGAAGATCAAAATGAATGCTCTTTATCAACTAAGAAGAACCCTAAAGTTAAGAAAATGAAAGTTACCTATGGGTGGAGGGTTCAGGGCTTGGTTGGCATGGGAACTTTGCAAATTCCTAAGGCTACAAGAAAAACCACAATCTTGCTAAATTCGCTAAAAATAGGAGCTATTGGGAAAATTGTCAGAACCTTACCAAACCTGATTTACAATCCAAACCACTATAGCTCTGATTGGACAAAGGACCAGCCTTACAAAAATTCTTTCCTGATAAGCAACTGAAGACCTCAAACCAGTTTCAGCCAGTTTATAGAGACTGCATGCAAACTTTGTGTCCAATAGTTCACCTTTTGACATGAAGAGCCAAGTTCCACCTTATTTTAATGTTAAAACCTTACCCCAAAGTGAACACGGTATGTGTGTTATATATATGTTTATCCATTGTACGTGTTCAACTTCCCTCGTAGATATGTATAACTTTTCTCCCAAACCTGCTGAATATGTTTTACTCTATTGTGCGATACAGGTCCTGTGAGGCATAAAAACCAACCTGCCCTTTTCCTTCTGGGAAGAGAGCACCTTTGGCATAAGCTGGAGACTCTCTTTTTGCTGTGCAAACTGAAATCACCAATATAGTACTCCTTTCTACTATTTAGCCATCCTTGTGGTCTTTTGGGTGACATTTTCTTTTTCTTTAAAGAAACACGGTCTGACTCTGTTGCCGAGGTTGGACTGAGGTGATGCCATCTGGATTCACTATAGCTTCAGCCTCCAGGTCTCAAGTGATCCTCCCACCTCAGCCTCCCAAGTAGCTGGGAAAACAGGTGTGTGCCACCATGCCCAGCTAATTTTTTTAGTTTTTGTAGAGATGGGGTCTATGTTACCCAGGCTGGTCTCAAACTCCTGGGCTCAAGTGATCCTCCCACCTCAGTCTTCCAAAATGCTGAGATTTACAGGCATGAGCCATTGCACCTGGCTGGATGACAATTCTTTAGGTTTATCTGTGCTCTTATTTTAGGTTTGGAAAGATGGTACGACACTGTGATGTATAATAAGACATGCAGTATGTATAGATAGTCTTAGTCCCAGTGTTCTGGCACACAGCTCCTAAAACCCTGGGAATCTCCAAAGTGATAAATGGTTTTTGTATGCTAATAAAATGACAGTGTTAAGTGGGTTTCTGCATGCCGGAAGCTCCTGGATAGCTTCAGGATGGGGGCTCCTTGCCCAGGAACTAACCAGTGATTAAAGAGTTATGACTTTCAGCCCCAATCCCAACCTTGAAAGAGAGGAGAGGCTGAAGGTTGAGCTGATCACCGAAGGCCAATGATTTAATCAATTCTGCCTACATAAGGAAGCCTCTATAAAATCCCAAAAGAAACGCAGAGGCAGGTGGATCACTTGAGCCCAGGAGTTCAAGACAAGCTCGGGTAACATGATGAGACCCCATCATGTTGGGGTTGGGCATCATGGCGCGCACCTGTTAGTCCCAGTTCCTCAGGCGGAGAGGGGAGGATTGCATGAGCCTGGGAGGTGGAGGTTTCAGTGAGCAGAGATCATGCCACTGCACTCCAGCCTGGGTGACAGAGTGAGAACCTGTCTCAAAAACAAAAACAAAGTCAAAATCCAAAAGAAAAGGGTTTGGATAGCTTCCAAATTGCTGAACATGTGGAGATGCCTAGAAGGTGGGGCACCCAGAAACAGTGTGGAAGCTCTGGACTTTTGCTGGCCTTTCCATATGTATCTCTTCTATCTGGCTGTTCATCTGTATACTTTATTATATCCTTTATTAATAAACTGGAAAATATATGTAAAGTGTTTCCCTGAGTTAAATGATCTGCTCTAAGCAAATTAATCAAACCTGAAGAGGCAGGCATAGAGACTCCAATTTACAGTGGGTTGGTCAGAAGTACAGGTCACAACCTGAAGCTTGTGATTGGCATCGGAAGTGGGAGGCAGTCTTGGAGGACTGAACCATTAAACTGTGGGATCTGATGCTATCTCCAAGTAAATAGTGTTAGAATTGAATTAAATTATAGGATCCCCAGCTGATGCCTGCTGGAGAATTGCTTGGTGTGTGGGAAAAACCCCCATGCATCTGGTGACAGAAGCATTCTATGTTATACTGAGTGAATGTAAGAGTAAGAAGAGCACTTTGGGCCAGGTGCAGTGCCTCATGCCTGTAATCCCAGCAATTTGGGAGGCTGAGACGGGCAGATCACTTGAGGCCAGGAGTTCGAGAACAGCCTGGCCAACATGACGAAACCCTGTTTCTATGAAAAAAGAAAACTAAGAAAAAATTTAAAAAGAAAAGCATTTTGATTTTTCCCCCCATCATCTCTATTAGATGGTGTGAATGTACCTGGTTTCCAGGCTTTTTGAATTGTGTCTATAAGCAGTACAATTTTGAACTGAAATCCCTAACATAAGAAATGTACACAAAACTATAGAAACTTAAAAGGATGAAATAAAATATATAAATAGATGTTCTAATATTCCCACACCCCTTGGAAGGTCATGTGTACCTGCTGCCCATGCACCTCATTTTGGAGGACACTAATGGAAGAGTAAAGGCAGTGTTTATATCTGTAGTGTGAAGAGGCCCAGGACTGCTTCAGATGATCTTCACACCTGGAATCTGACCTGAAATAAGCTCTGATCTGAAATCAAATCTGAAATCTATAATTAAGAATGTGACTTAATGTATGTTTGGCTGCCGGTGACTTTTAAGCCTTATCCCGCCCCTCGTCCCATTATGCCCCACACCTCTGGCAAGCTAAGCAAGCCTGGGTGCTGGTAGGCGGAGCTTGCAGTGAGCCGAGATGGCACCACTGCACTCCAACCTGGGCGACAGAGCAAGACTCCGTTTCAAAAAAAAAAAGCCTGGGTGCTTGCCAGATACGGTGGCCCATGCCTGTAATCCCAGCACTTTGGGAGGCCGAGGCAGGAAGATGACTTGAGCCCAGTCTGGGCAACATAGTGAGACACAATCTCTTAAAAAAAAATAAAGCAAGCAAGCCTGGGTATTTCCTTCTTTGATACCAGTGGGAAATTCAAACCACATGCAAGAAACATTACTCTGGCCCTACTCTCTAACCACCAAAAAACCCCAAGTCAGTCTCCTTCCCTGTTGTCAAATCCTGCTTAGGAGCTGCCCTGCCTTCCCCAGAAAGCTTATGTGAGTAACAACCCTTTCATAGTCTGTTGGTGTGTGTGTGGCTTCATCAGTCATTTTTTCTTTTTTTTTTGAGACAGGGTCTCACTGTGTTGCCCAGGCTACAGTGCAATGGTACAATCATAGCTCACTGCAACCTCCAACTTCTGGGCTCAAGTGATTCTCATGCCTCAGTCTCCTGAGCAGCTGGGACAACAGGTGTGCACAATCATGCCCAGATAATTTAAAAAAAAAAGTTTCTTTTTTTGCAGAGATGGGGGTCTCTGTATGCTGCCCAGGCTGGCCTTGAACTCCTGGCCTCAAGTGATCCTCTTACCTTGGCCTCCCTAAGTGCTAGGATTACAAGCGTGAGCCACTGAACCTGGCTATCAGTCTGGACATTTGAACCAAATTTTGAGTGTGGAATGCATCTCGTCTCAGTGTGGGATGGCCACAAAAAAAAAGCATCCTCCTTTACAGTTCACCTACTGCTTTATTTCTTTTCATAGCACTTAATACCACCTGACATATTACATATTTATTGTTTGTCTTCTGCACTAGACAGATCTCCAGCTTTAGTAAAGTGTTTGGTATAATCATTCGAGTGGCTACTTTGCTAGCACTGTTAAAGGTACTAGTGCTATAGTTGTGAACAAGGCCCTTGCCTGTATGAAGTGTACACTCCAGAGAGCAGGGTAGGTGTTCAATACATATTTGTTAAATGAAAGAGTATTAATATTGTTTTTGTCTGGAGGTAAGATACTAGAAACATAATATATCATACATTAAATTTTTTATTCATTTTTTTTGCATCAAAATAGTGCTTAAAATAATAGGAATTTATACTCACAAGACATAGCTAACATCCAGAGTAGACAATTAAAAAATATTATTTGAAAATTATGTACTTAGTACTAAAGACTTCCTAAATTTGTACATTAGCAAGATTGTCATTAGCACCATTAGAGAGTTGATCTTTGGCTAATGATTATTCAAAGAACATTCAGGAAAATTTCAACCATTACAATCAGTGAGTATAATTTTATATTTCAGCAAGGATAGTGGTCATGTTCAGCAATAGCCTCACTTACAAATTAAAGTAAGCTCACTTCAATGTTGCACTTTGATGCTGTTTTTTTTACCCCTTCTCTTGCAAATAACTAGTGAAATAAAAATTGCTTCTAACTGGCAATCGAAACAAGGGAGGAATTATGGCTAGCCAACTAGTTGCTAATGTTTGTGTTTTTATTTTTTATTAAAGAAAAAAATTTTAAATAATAGAGATGGGGTCTCACCATTGTGCCCAGGCTGGTCTTAAACTCCCAGGCTCAGACAATCCTCCCACTCGGCCTCCCAACATGCTGGGATCACAGGCTTCAGCCACCAGGCCCGGCCTGCTAATGTTTGTGAAAGGCAAATTGCAAACTTCTATGGTTTAACTTCATCAGAAGGGTAAAGGGCTCCCCACCTGCCACCTTGTTCCAAGAAAAAGGTATACTCTGATTACTAGAATGGATTTTTAAAATTCAATACAAAGATTCAATAACTATCAACATTTCTAAACACTGATTTTTCTTTTTATCTTTTTCAAGTGTTTTTCAATGTCCTGCAGGTAATAACACTGATTTTTCTAATACTCAGAAACATCTACTTAGCAGCTGTGATACTAATTTGCAAAATGTAATAATGTTATACAAATATAAGGTACTACTAAATACATAGCAGAAATAATTGCATGATTCCTAATGTTTATATTCAAGGTATAAACATGACTGATTTTGCTGATACTATAGAATTAAAAAAAATAAAGTTGCTATGTAAAAAATTAAAGAATATCTCAATTAGATATTTTTGTTCCTAATCTCTTTCAGACAGATCTATTAAATAATATAGAATATAATATCAATATATCCTTTCATATGAAGTGAAAAAGAATGGGGTTTAAGTAGTGAGATCACTTCTATTTTTTACTTTTTTAAAAAAACAGACAGGGTCTTGCTATGTTGCCCAAGCTGGTCTCAAACTCCTGGGCTCCAGTGTGCCTCCTGCCTCAGCCTCCCAAAGTGCTGGGATTATAGGCATGAGCCATTGTGCCTGGCCCGTGGGATCATTTCCATTGGTTTTATGTCAGTATCAATTAATGAGTCAATCAATTAATTAACCTTAATGATTTCTTTTTCTAAATAAGTATCAGCTGATTTAATCTCGCCCAATTGAATGAGACTCTTTTGGTTGATCAATGCGATAGAGAAACTCTGCAGGTAAGAAGTACCCAAGATATTCCACTGTATCTGGAGTAGTGTCATAATGGTAGTGTCCACCTTCTCCATGATGACTGAAAAAATGAGTGTGCTCCAGTCGCAAATCAAACCCCTAGGATAACAAACAATATGTTAGTACTCAAAGTATTGATTAGAGTTTAAGGGGGAAGGGATAACTTTTTATGTTGCAATAGTTTTCATTTTTTAAATAGGTAATACATTCACATGTTCTAAACTCAAAGGGGGCAAAACGATATATTCAGTAAAACGTATCTTCCTCTCTCTTGCCCTCACCACTTACACCCCTTCTTAGCAGTTGACCAATGTAAGCAGTTTCTTGTATATCCTTCCAGAAATATTTACTTTTATTTTTACTCAAATGTAGTATTTTGTACACACTTTTCTGCATGTAACTTTTTTTCATGTAACAATATAGTTTTGAGATCTTTGTATATCAAATCATAAAACAGCTTCCTCATTCTTTTAGACTTATGTGGTATTCCATTGTGTATGTAACTTAACTGACATTTGCATTATTTCTAATTCTTTTGCTACTACAACACTGTAATGAATAACCTTTTAACTAGTAATTTTACACAATTATGAATATATTTAAGTATAAAATCCTAGACATGTAATCACTGGATCAAAAGATATGACCAGGCTAGGCGCAGTAGCTCATGCCTGTAATCCCACCACTTTGGGAGGCTGAGGCGGGCGAATCACTTGAAGTCAGGAGCTTGAGACCAGCCTGGTCAACATGGCAAAACCCTGTCTCTACCGAAAATACAAAAATTAGCCAGGTGTGGTGGTGAGCACCTGTAATCCCAGCTACTCAGGCGGGTGAGGCAGGAGGATTGCGTGAACCCAGGAGGCGGAGGTTGTAGTGAGCTGAGATCGCATCACTGCACTCCAGCCTGAGCAACAGAGCGGGACTCTGTCACAAAAAATAAAAAAAAGAAAAGATAAGACCAATATTTTAGTAGGTATTTGCTTTGAATTGATAATATTTTTTCTAGTGTATAGTATTATAATATAACGAACACCAAACAAGATGACAGGAGACCTGAATCCTAGTTGTGACTCTACTATTTTTTTTGAGATGGGGGTTACACTGTTACCTAGGCTGGTCTCAAACTTCTGGATTCAAGTCAGCCTCCTCGGTACCTAAGAATACTGGGGCATGCCACCATGCCTAGCTACACCTGCTATTTAATAAAATAATTTTGGGTGTTATTTAAAATGCCTGTGCCTTCATTTTCTCAAAGGTAAAATCTGCTCTGCCTAACTCATAGGATGGTGAAGAGCTCCCTTATCTTCCAAAATAATTCTAGAGACTACCCTAATTCTTAAATAACACCACCACATGGCCAGGCGTGGTGGCTCACACTTGTAATCTCAACACTTTAGGAGGCAGAGGTGGGTGGATCACCTGAGGCCAGGGGTTTGAGACCAGCCTGACCAATGTGGTGAAACCCTGTCTACTAAAAATACAAAAATTAGCCTGGCATGGTGGTGCATGCCTGTAATCCCAGCTACCCGGGAGGCTGAGGCAGTTCAATCACTTGAACCCAGGAGGCGGAGGCTGCAGTGAGCTGAGATTGTGCCATTGCACTGTAGCCTGGGCAACAAGACTGAAACTCTGTCTCAAAACAACAACAACACAAAAATTGCCTAGTTCTTAAAGATTATCCTGCCAGGTGTGGTGGCTCACGCCTGTAATCCCAGCACTTTGGGAGGTCGAGGCGGGCGGATCATGAGGTCAGGAGATCGAGACCATCCTGGCTAACACAGTGAAACCCCGTCTCTACTAAAAAATACAAAAAATAAGCCGGGCGTGGTGGCGGATGCCTGTAGTCCCAGCTACTCGGGAGGCTGAGGCAGGAGAATGGCGGGAACCTGGGAGGCGGAGCTTGCAGTGAGCCCAGATCTTGCCACTGCACTCCAGCCTGGCCACAGAGTGAGACTCCGCCTCAAAAAAAAAAAAAAAAAAAAAAAGATTATCCTAAAAATCAAGCATTATCATTATAGTATAATATAAAAAACAGACACAGACTTACTGGGTCTCTGGAGACAAAAACTGGTAGACAAACCAAAGGAGCCTTCATCTCATAAAAATGCAACCATTTATTCACCTCTTCATCAGAGTTCAAGGGGCAGGAAGAAAATTCTGCAGGCTACAACAAAAGATAATTATATAGGTAAACATACTGAATATTACGAAGAATTAAAAATTTTAAAAATATATTTTATTTATTATTAATTTTTAATTATACTTTAAGTTCTGGGTTACATGTGCAGAACATGTAGTTTTGTTACATAGGTATACACGTGCCCTGGTGGTTTGCTGCACCCATCAACCCATCACCTATATTAGGTATTTCTCCTAATGTTATCCCTCCCCTACCCCCCCAACCCCCGACAGACCCCAGAGTGTGATATTCCCCTCCCTGTGTCCATGTGTTTCCACTGTTCAACTCCCACTTATGAGTGAGAACATGCGGTGTTTGGTTTTCTGATCTTGTGATAGTTTGCTGAGAATGATGGTTTCCAGCTTCATCCATGTCCCTGCAAAGGACATAAATTCACCCTTTTTCATGGCTGCATAGTATTCCATGGTGTATAGGTACCACATTTTCTTAATCCAGTCTATCATTGATGGACATTTGGGTTAGTGCCAAGTCTTTGCCATTGTGTATAGTGCTGCAATAAACATATGTGTGCGTGTGTCTTTATCGTAGAATGATTTATAATCCTTTGGGTATATGCCCAGTAATGGGATTGCCGGGTTAAATGGTATTTCCAGTTCTAGATCCTTGAAGAATCGCCACACTGACCTCCACAATGGTTGAACTAATTTACACTCCCATGAACAGTGTAAAAGCGTTCCTATTTTTCCACAACCTCTCCAGCATCTGTTGTTTCCTGACAGGGTCTGGCTCTGTTACCCAGGCTGGAGTGCAGTGGGATGATCACGGTGGGCCTGGAAAAGGCACAAGTTTCCACTATGGTGTGTGGGATGGGCAGCTGGCCCCCTGGCCTGAAGGCAGGGCCTTACCGGAAACCTGCCCCCTTCTCCTCCTAAACCTGTCTGCCTCCTGCTGCCAATCATGGAATCCAGGCTGTAGGTGCCAAGGGGTGCCTGAACGCCAGTGCAGAGCTGCCCTCAGCCCTCGCTCAGCTTCCCTTCTATGCTCGTGTCAGCGCCCAAAATTCAGAAGGGGCTGGGGCGGCAGGGGGCTGGTGTATCAGCAGTGCCCTGAGTGTGTGCACATCTGGCTGGGCTGTGACAGCAACCAGGCTCTGCCTGACTTTGCTCCTGGATCGGAGCAGGCGCTGACAGCAGGGAGAAGCCAGGCAGTGGGAGCAGGCATTTCCAAACCTGCAAGAGCAGTGGGGGCCTTCCCAGACCCCGAAGAAAGCAGGAATGCCTAGGTCCGCAGCCACCGTTTGGGCAGCTGCAGCTGCGTGGAGAAGGCGGGGCTCCTGCCTACTCCGTGGAGTAGGAGGCCCAGGTCTGCAGCCACGGGTTTGAGCTGCTGCAGCTGTGCCTGGGAAGATGGGGCTCTCGCCTGTTCCAGCCGGGAGAGGAGAGGGATGCCAGGGACCACAACCATAGCTTGGGCGATTGCAGCGGCACCAAGGGAGCTCCAGCGCTAACTCGGAAGGGGCGGGACTCCCACTTGTCTTCAGCTCCCACCCGCTCCATGGAACGTGTAGCCTCAGCTGTGCCTCCCTGCTGCAGTCACTCCAGACAGCCTGCTGCTGCCATCATCACTATGTTGACCAGGCTGGTTTTGAATTCCTGGCGGTCCTCCCACCTTGGCCTCCCAAAGTGCTGGGATTACAGGCATGAGTCATTTTGCAGGCCTTGAATTTATCTTGATCTTAAAAACAAACATATCCAAAATAAAGTTCTAATATATTAACATGGATAAAAACATTATCTTATAATCTGATTTACAATATTATCATTTAAATTTTAAAGTAATACAATCATAGTAAAAAGGATTTGTTTAGAGTGTCTTTGAATGTAGAATTCCCAACATATACCTTACAATTCTAAGATGTGGCCCAGCGCAGTGTTTCACATCTGTCATCCCAGCACCTTGGGAGGCTGAGGCGGGTGGATCAGCCTAGGTCAGGAGTTCGACACCAGTCTGGCCAACGTGGCAAAACCTTGTCTCCACTAAAACTACAAAATAAGCCCAGCGTGGTGCTGCATGCCTATAATCCCAGCTACTCAGCAGGCTGAGGCAGAAGAATCCCTTGAATCCGGGAGGTGGAGGTTGCAGTGAGCCAAGATCGTGGCACTGCACTCCAGTGTGGGCAACAGAGCAAGGTTCCGTTAAAAAAAAAAAAAAATCCTGAGATCTTAAACATGTGCACACATACAAACTCCTTCATGCATGTATGCACACATGGGCTCGTACCATAATGTGAGACTTCACTTTTCCCTTCTGAATTATGAAAGTACCTCCCATTCCTACAGGCTTATTTCCATAATGTTTTTCCAGGGTCTGTCTCATACAAGTCACAAAGTTAAGTGGTCCAGTTCTTCTTTTGGCTTTCACCTCAATTACCTATAGAGGACACAAAGATGCGTATCATTGACTATGCTGCAAAATAACTACCGAAGTAAAACATTATATAATTTAATGCTATCAAACAAATATTCTGTTCTTTGCATAGAGCCCCCAGATCTGAGTTGAGATGTTACAATCCCGTGAGTCTTGATCAATCATATATACATATGTATACACACACACACGTACATATCAGTTATATGTAATTTATAAATAAGTCTTAAGCATGCTTTCTTGAACTGAGAAACTGAGAAAGACAAGTTTCTCAGTGTAGACAAGTCCTACACTGAACTCTAGAGACTCTTAACATGTGTGTCAAGGCAGTCAAAGATTGAGAATTACCTGCTTTAAAGGAATTAACCTTTGGTAAGTGGGGATGAGGAGAATATGATTACATTTTCTCACTTCCCTTAAAAATCTGTACTGTATCATCTCCACAACTTGGAAGTTAAGTATTTTCACTTCTCAATCTCTTATCTCAAAGTAGTCGAAGAGGCTATCTCTACTTACAAAACTGGAGAGTCTTCACAAAAGCTAACACTGAAATCATCTTTTTGTGTAATAACAGGAAGTAAATATGAAGTATGGCATTAGTTTTCCTTACTTTCTTCTTGCTGTAAGTTTTTGCTACCACCATTTCTATCTAGAGCAATGTATGATTCATCAGAAAGAAACAAATAACCTATTTACTACCTGTAAGTAGGCATTATTTATTTTAGCTGTATGGTTCATGTAGATGACTTACTTACTCCCCAAATTAATATTCTATTACCTTTTAGTTCACAGAAAAAGGTCTTCCTGACTAAGTAGTCTTCTGTTTTTTTTTTTTTTTTGAGACAGGTCTTGCTGTCACCCAGGTAGGAGTGCAGTGGTGTGATCATAGCTTGTTGCAGCCTCAAACACCTGGGCACAAGGGATCCTCCTGCCTCCTGAGTAGCTAGGACTATAGGCATGTACCACATCTGGCTAATTAAAAACACAAAATTTTTTTTTTTTTGAGACAGGCTCTTGCTATGTTGCCCAGGCTGGTCTGAAACTGCCAGACTTAAGTGATCCTCCAGCTTTGGACTCTCAAAGGACTGGAATTACAGGCATGAGCCATTGTGCCAGCCGTACTATTCTTTTTTTTTTTTTGGAGACAGAGTCTTGCTTTGTTGCCCAGGCTGGAGTGCAATGGTGCGATTTTGGCTCACTGCAACCTCTGTCTCCCAGGTTCAAGCAATTCTCCTGTCTCAGCCTCCCAAGTAGCTGGGACTACAGGCGTGTGCCACCTTCCCTGTCTAATTTTAGTATTTTTAGTAGAGACGAGGTTTCACCATGTTGGCCAGACTGGTCTCAAACTCTTGACCTCAGGTGATCCACCCACCTCGGCCTCCGAAAGTGCTGGGATTACAGTCGTAAGCCACCGCACCCGGCCTCCAGCCATATTATTCTTAACCTTAGTTTGAAAGATGACTTTTGCTCTGCCTTTAGTACTCTCTGAATCTTTCATTACTGGGTTAAAGAGCTTTGACTTAGGAAGCTCTAATTTTCATTTTTTTTTGAGACAGTGTCTCACTCAGTGGCCCAGACTGGAGTGCAGTGGCATGATGTTGGCTCACTGCAACCTCTGCCTTCCGAGTCTGAGCGATTCTCTCACCTCAGCCTCCTGAGTAGCTGGGACGACAGGCACACACCACCACACCCTGCTAATTTTTGTATTTTTTGGTACAGATGGGGTTTCACCATGTTGGCCAGGCTGGTATTGAACTCCTGACCTCAAGTTGACCTCAAGTTATCCACCCAGCTTGGCCTCCCAAAGTGGGAAGCTCTAATTTTCTTAGCAAAATCATATTTGTGGCAGTAAAAGTTCACATTTTTAGCTATCTGAGAACATTTAGGGAATACTGTATTTTTATGGACAAAATCACCTTGCCAGGTTGGCCCTCACTGGCGAAAAGATTAGCCAGTAATGCACACTCAAAATCATGATGTTTCTCACTGTATTTCTCCAGGAGGCACCCTCCATCTGCAGGGTTTACATGGGCAAAGTAACTACCATTCACAGGAGGCTTGTGTTCACTTTCTGTCTGAATAACTGGCATAAACTGAAAAGAAAGTGAGGCAATTAGTCAATCTTTGTATCTCTGCAAAGAGAATATCTTGAATAATGTTATAAAACATTTAATCCTTTTAAGGCATTTCAGTTCAAGTCCTAATAAGAGAACATACAATACATAATATTTAATTTTAGACATAAAAAACTTGAAAAACTTTTTTTTTTTTTTTTTTTTGAGACGGAGTCTCGCTCTGTCGCCCAGGCTGGAGTGCAGTGGCCGGATCTCAGCTCACTACAAGCTCCGCCTCCCGGATTTATGCCATTCTCCTGCCTCAGCCTCCCGAGTAGCTGGGACTACAGGCGCCCGCCACCTCGCCCAGCTAGTGTTTTGTATTTTTTAGTAGAGACGGGGTTTCACCGTGTTAGCCAGGATGGTCTCAATCTCCTGACCTCGTGATCCGCCCGTCTCAGCCTCCCAAAGTGCTGGGATTACAGGCTTGAGCCACCGCGCCCGGCTTGAAAAACATTTTATAAGATATTTATAGGCCGGGCGCTGTGGCTCACGCCTGTAATCCCAGCACTTTGGGAGGCCAAGGGGGGCAGAACACGAGGTCAAGAGATCAAGACCATCTTGGCCAACATGGTGAAACCCCGTCTCTACTAAAAATACAAAAATTAGCTGGGCGTGGTGGCGTGTGCCTGTAGTCCCAGCTACTCAGGAGGCTGAGGCAAAAGAATTGCTTGAACCTGGGAGGTGGAGGTTGCAGTGAGCCAAGATAGCGCCACTGCACTTCAGCATGGCGACAGAGTGAGGCTCTGTCTCAAAAAAAAAAAGAAAAAAAAAAAAGATATTTATAGTATTTCTTACAGTGTATCTATAACTTGCATTAAATATCTTATTTTAAATTTTAAACTGTTTTCCCTAAGTTGAACACTAGGCAAATTGTATTAATGTTTCTGCAAAGAACTTGTATGACTATTAGTCATATCTGAAGATGTTATGAGACAATGAGCAGACTTAAGTCTTGTATTCATGAGATTCAAAGAAACAGTAATATTTTCATATGTAATAATGTATATTAGTAATAACTATTAACTTTTATAAATAACCATCATACTATTGTGATGGTTTCCTACTATTTGGTCTTGAAGAAGTTGACTAGATCACTAATATTCCCTTCACCTTCTAATCCAAAGCTGCCTGCATACCCAAAGCAAGGATTTATAGAGAAATTAGGAATCCTGTAAGACTATAAATGTTTTATAATCCAGAACCTTCAACAGAATACCATAGAACCCTGCATTTATCTAAGGCTGAACCTATAACCTAAGAAAATCTAAAACTATAAGTTAGTACTCCATTACAGTTAGTCCAGCTGGAGTGTGTGCTATAGCAGAAATCTATATCAAGCAGTATTAAACCTGCCGAGAGACTTACAATTCACTCAGAAAGTAGGATTTTTGGCACTAAAAGCAAAAAGACAAATCAAATGTCAAATCAATAAAGTAAAATAATTTTCTTATACATGCTGACCTCAGAATTGAACCCGAGAGTCTGAAATGGACCTGCTCCTGCTCCAAGAATAAAAGCTCCAGGCAGCTTGATTTCTTTTGCAATTTTATTCAGATCATAAACCTATAGAAGAGGAAAAAATATTATTTAAGGCACAACTTGTACAAAGTCCCTAGTTTACCTTTTATTATTGATCCATTAGCACTTCCTTGCCAATTGATCAACAGGTCTTCTAATAATAAACAGAGTAATCAACCCAACTTCTACAATCTTCATGTGAACATGCAGAGTAAAAGTACTTACTTTTTTTTGGTTTACAAGAGGCAATAAGTAAGGCACACCTCCTACTTCTGCAATTCTAGTTTTCCCACAGATGCCTAAAAAAAAAAAAACCAAAAAACAAAAACACAAGCCATCTTAAAAATAGGCAAACATCTAATTTAATAATAAAATGCCAAAAGACATGAATTTAATTTATTAACAGTACATAACTTCTCCATTCTCATAAAGTTTTACAAATAACAGGGATTGGAAGACATAAGTAGCTAGAACCCCTGTCCTGTTTTAAGTACCTGTGTCTCTAATATCATCATAACCAAGCATGGCTTATATAGTTGGTGGCATAAAGGTAATACAAGGCAAGGGCAAGGGTTAGAACTGGGGCCAAAGTTTGGATTGGGTAAGGTTTCTATAATGTTTTTAACGCCTTATTTCTTAAAAAAAAATCTATTTTGGGGTGGTTTTTGTTTTTTTTTTGTCTAAAATTGTTTTTTAATTTTTAATTTAAAATATTTTGTTCTGATAGAATGTAAATTCTTAGGCAGTGGCTCACGCCTGTAATCCCAGCACTTTGGGAGGCCGAGGTGGACATATCATGAGGTCAGGAGATTGAGACCATCCTGGTTAATACGGTGAAACCTCATCTCTACCAAAAATACAAAAAATTAGCCAGGCATTGTGGCATGTGCCTGTAGTCTCAGCTACTCGGGAGGCTGAGGCATGAGAATTGCTTGAACCTGGGAGGCGGAGGTTGCAGTGAGCTGAGATCATGCCACTGAACTCCAGCCTGGTGACAGAGCGAGACTCTGTCCCAAAAAAAAAAAAAAAAAAAAAAGAAAACTATAAAGAAGTATTATGCTAGCCGGGTACAGTGGCTCATGCCTGTAATCCCAGCACTTTGGGAGGCCGAGGTGGGCAGATCACGAGGTCAGGAGATTGAGACCATCCTGATTAATATGGTGAAACCCCGTCTCTACTAAAAATACAAAAAAATTAGCTGGTTGTGGTGGCGGGGGGCTGTAGTCCCAGCTACTCAGGAGGTTGAAGCAGGAGAATGGCGTGAAGCCGGGAGGCGACACTTGCAGTGAGCCGAGATCGCACCACTGCACTCCAGCCTGGGTGACAGAGCGAGACTCCATCTCAAAAAAAAAAAAAAAAAAAAAGGATGCTAAATGCTTTGAAGAAGTTAAAAGACATTGCCATATGGTACACAAGCCTTCTAGAATTTACAGCTCTACTTAAAATAAAAGATTGTTTAAGCTAGAAAGGCCCCCAAAAAACATTCAATTCAAATGCTCCCATGTTAATGTATCTCAAAGTCAGGTTTAAGACAGAACTGGAGTCCAGAATTTCTATGGCAAACTCCTTTTTAGCAAAGATGTTAATTACATAATAAAAAGAACACTTTGAGTGTTTATTCTCAAATTCCTCATCATAACAGGGTATAACGGGAGACGGTTAGACTTTGGAAAGAGACAGACTTGCATTTGAATCCTGATTATGATTTACACTGAGCTTATCTAGCCTCTCTCCTTTTCAGTTTTCTCACCTATAAACCAGGGGTACTACTTACCTTGCGGTGTTATTGTAAAAACTGAAACATCAAATAAATATCTATCACACTGACAAATTATTTTATTCTCCTAATACTAATTTCCCTTCCTTCTCACTTCAAACAGTGGATGCTCACTTGGCAAATTTGTTGAAGGATTAGTTTTAATAAATTATTCAAATACAAGGCTTTTAAGATCCCTTCTGGTCTTGAATAAATAAAATCATAAAAATTAAAATCAGTTTCCATAACAGTCCGAGCAACTAAAAGCAAAACTCTCATGTGATACAAAGAATTCTAACCTATTGGATATCTATTCTATAATCTGTAAAGGTTACATAACTGCATAAAACATAATCCTTTTCCACAATAGTATGAAATGAAATTAATATCAGAAGAGTGAGCACAGAAATTTGGCACAATTTAGCCTAAATGTTGTGACAATATCCTTTATTTGTAGATAATTTAAGATGTTCTTAAAAATAATTCTAGTTTCAAAAAAATATTTAGACTAAAAAACAAAAGCTAATTGCAAAAATAGCTTACCTTTTACAGGAAAGGTAAAGGGTTCCTTAGTCAAATCAGGGCAATCAACTACAGAGACCTGGACATCAGCAAAGTTATCTTTTAACCCCTTCTGCATAACTAATAAAGACAAGGAATAAGATTATTTAACATTATGTAAAAACTTAGCTACCACATATCAAAAGTGCCCCCAACACACTCCCAATCTCAACTTGTATAATAAAAAAAAAGGGGGGAAATGGTCTTATTAATGAATATAACTAGACATTAAGCATAATCATATAGTACAATGTAGACTAAGATACATAAATACTTCCTCTACAGTGATTTCCAACTGTTGAAGATAAACAGCCTGCACTTGTGTGAGGATGAGGATTACCTTCTTTTTTGAAAGAAGATTCCAAAAACCAACTGAAATGTGAACATTTAAACTTTTTGAAAAGTAATCACATGTAACAACTTCAGTGAAGGTAACAGACAAAATATTGAACAAAGCAGCCAGACACAAAAGACTATATACAATATTACTTCACTTTATGCATCTCAGAAACAGGCAATGGATCAAGGCTGACTGGGAAGGTATGCAAAGGAGCCTTCTGGGATGTTGAAAATATTTTACATTTTGATCTGGATAGCAGTTACATAGGTGTAACTATTGTTAACATTCATCAAGCTATACACTTAAGATTAGTGTACTTTACTGTAGATAGTTATACCTCAATAACAACGTAAAAAAGCACAGGTATCTCAAAGTTATTAATTTAAGACCGATAATATTTCCCTCTCTCTCTTTTATATGTAGAGACGAGGTCTTTCTATATTGCCCAGGCTGGTCTCGAACTCTGGGGCTCATGTGATCTTCCTGCCTTGTGTCTCCCAAAGTGCTGGGATTACAATGAGCCATCACACCTAGCCTCAAGGGTTTTTTTTTTTTTTTTTTTGAGACAGAGTCTCACTGTGATAGCCTCACCCCGTCGCCCAGACTGGAGTGCAGTGGTGTGCAGCACGATCTTGGCTCACTCAGCCTTGATCTCCAGGCTCAAGTAATCCTCCCACCTCAATCTCCCCAGTAGCTGGGACTATAGGCGGATGTCACCATGCTTGGCTAATTTTTATAAAAATGGGGTTTTGGCTTGTCGCCCAGGCTGCTCTCAAACTCCTGGGCTCGAGAGATCTGCTCACCTTGGCCTTCCCAAATGCTGGAATTACAAGCATGAGCCACTGCCTCAGCCTATGTACTTTTAAGGATCAAAAGTTCTTACAAAATTTCTTTCTTTCTTTTTTTTTTTTTGGAGATGGAGTCTCACCCTGTCGCCCAGGCTGGAGTGCAATGGTACGATCTCGGCTTACTGCAACCTCCACCTCCCAGGTTCATGCAATTCTCCTGCCTCAGCCTCCCAAGTAGCTGGGGTTACAGGCACCCACCACCACACCAGGTATTTTTTGTATTTTTAGTAGAGACGGGGTTTCACCATGTTGGCCAGGCTGGTCTTGAACTCCTGACCTCGTGATCCACCTGCCTCGGCCTTCCAAAGTGCTGAGATTACAGGCATGAGCCACTGTACCTGGTCAATTTTTTTTTTTTTTTTTTTGAGACTGAGTCTCACGTTGTCACCTAGGCTGAAGTGCAGTGGTGCGATCTTGGCTCAACATAACTTCTGCCTCCCGGGTTCAAGTGATTCTTTGTGGCTCAGACTCCCGAATAACTGGAATTACTGGCACACACCATCACGCCCAGCTAATTTTTGTATTTTTAGTAGGGATGGGGTTTTGCCATGTTGGCCAGGCTGGTCTTGAACTCCTGACCTCAAGTGATCTGTCCACCTTGGCCTCCTAAAGTTTTGAGATTACAGGCATGAGTCACTGTACCAGGCCATAAAATTTCTACTTTTACTGAATATATCCTGCACATATAGAAGGAAAAGAGAAACAAACACAAAAGTGAAAACAGGTTCTAGAAAAGTAATAAAAGAAAAAATCTGGCCAAGCATGGTGGCTCATGCCTATAATCCCAACACTTTGGGTGGCCGAGGCAGGAGGATCAAGTGAGGTCAGGAGTTCAAGAGCATCCTGGGCAATAGAGCAAGATCCTATGTCTACAAAAAGAGAAAAGAAAAAGAAAAAATTCCTAGCTACCCTGTCATATTAGGGAAGACAGATTGATGAAAAAGAAATACAGGCCAAACAATACAGATTGTTTACTAGCTACCATTCAATTAGGGGGGGAAAAAGATTATAAGATTATTATAAGATTATAAAAAAAGTTACAACAAAGCAAAAATGAGTCTATTTCTTGACTTCGACCTTATCAGGATGACAAATGAACTACCAAAACAACACATCTTGAGAAACAAGGGAAGGTATATAGTTACCATCAGAACAGAATCTAGAGGTTGTCAAATAAAGGTTGGTATTCTGACAGACTTTACAGTTTTGGATAAGAACTATTCCTGGCTTCATTTTGTGTGCCCGTTTTTGTTTTCCTTTTTTTGCCTATGTTCCCTCCTAATTTATCTTGGGAAACTGCCTTAAATACTTGTTTGAACAAGGTGAAATATATAAAAATAAACACAGAGAGAAATCAAAGCAAGTTCACTGGCAGTCTGTCATTATCAGTGGTGTGGGGGAATTATATTGGGAATACGATTAACATACAACAGTAGAAAATACATTTAAAGAATAATGTAAGTGAAAAAAGTTAAAGCAAAATTGTGCAACTCTTTGGGCATCACACATGCTTAAGTCTTGGATTACTAATCATTTACATCTTGTAAAGTTGGTATCATCAATAATCTGTAAGTGAAAGAAAAAAGAATTTACAAATTATAATTTTAGTTTTTTTGGAGGGACAGAATTTTGGATTTTCTCAATAAAAATGGGACAGAACAGAAACTGAAATGGAAAATGAATTCCATACCAAAAGTATTATTTTGATAAGTAAGATATAGATATAGGTAAGTAGTAAGATATAGATAGATCTTAGAATCTTTTTAAAAGAATTTTCTCTTGGGATAATTTTTAAAAATCCAAAGTTAATATTGTTTTTACCTCCAGCAAGCTCTTCTAGACTTGGTACATGAAAAGAAAACTCAGCACAAGTCATTTTCTTTCTTCTTTAGGTGTGAGGTTGGACAAATAGAGTTACTCTTGGTTAATTATCACAAGAGTCCACAGTGCACCAAGTATGAACTGCTTCTGTTTTGGAAATGAACCTTTAGCATTCAAACATATAAACAGAACAAAAGGGCATTTAGGTTTCTATCTTCACAAAAAGTCAAACACAGCTTCTAGTATTTAATATTCCAAGTGAGAAACAGACAAGTGACCTTTTAATACTTATACTTTATTTTATTTTAATTTAAAATTTAAAACTAATTTTTTAATAGAAACACGATCTTGCCATGTTGCCTAGGCTGATCCTGAATTCCTGGTCTCAAGCGATCCTCCCACCTCTGCCTCCCAAAATGCTGGGATTACAAGTGTGAGTTACTGCTCCCGGCCAATTCATTTTCTTTTTTAAAATCATATAGCTGGAGTGAACATCCAATTTTCTAATGGTTGGTCTAAGGAATATAGGTCTTGAAGCAAAAGGTACTTATTAGGAGTTTATGGATAAGTGTTTAAATGGTTGTAGATAACAGTACATATAGGATTTGTACAGTACAGATAGGATCTCAAGTATTTCTATAATAGATATGTGTGTTTTCTATTCTATATTTCACATTTAGGCCAAAAATTAAATGAGCTCCTTAGACTATCATTTTGTCAAAATAAAATTTAAATTACAAATACGAATGGAAACTTTTATGGAATGATTAGCCTTTGAAATTCAAATTTTTATTTTCATTTACAAATAAATATACTTTCTTGGTAAACAGATTTAATGTTCAATTCTGATAATCTACCCAATTATAATTTGATAGTTAAATATATGCTTTTCTATCATTGCAACTAAAAAATAAAATACATGCCAAGTATACTTTGTAACAAATAAGTACACATACACATAGATTAGTATCTTACCTTAAGTGTTCAGTGATGAAGTGTGCAACCAGAGGGAGATAAAATGAAGGCAGGGAAAAATACAAGTAATATGAGGTAGACAGGTATCCTACTCCAGGCCAATCACAACAGGGAACACAGACAAGACTCTTAAGGGTGTTTCTAAGAGTACTGCAGGAGTTTTCATTAAAATTGTTAATAGAACACTTCATTAATCTGAGTGGCCTCTGCCCTTAATATGCCTATTTAGCAAGTGGAAAGGCGATCTTCAGTCATCTGAAATATTCTTCTAAATTTTTTTTTCTAATTTTCCAAAGAGTCGTAGGTTGTTTAGAAACTGGGTTTCTAGTTCCGGTACTTTTCAACAACATATCCTCTATAACCATTCTATTACATACCTTTAGGATGTTACATTTACTTCAGTACTTTATCAAATACCAGCTTTTATTGTTCTTGATTTAATATATGTAATCTAATCTCCCAAATATATATAACTGTTTATAAAGCGTCCCAAATCTTTTTTTTTTTTTTTTGAGATGGAGTCTCGCTGTCACCCAGGCTGGAGTGCACTATGGCACCATCTTGGCTCACTGCAACTTCCACCTCCCAGGTTCAAGTGATTCTCCTGTCTCAGTCTCCCTAGTGGCTGGGATTACAGGCGTGTGCCATCACGCCCGGCTAATTTTTTGTATTTTAGTAGAAACGGGGTTTCACCATGTTGCCCAGGCTGGTCTCAAACTCCTGAGCTCAAGCAAATCCACTTGCCTCGGACTCCCAAAGTGCTAGGATTACAGGCGTGAGCCACCACGCCCGGCCCCCAAATCTTACATAATCATACTTAAATTATTTTAAACAGAGTTTTGTGTGAGGAAAAGAGAGATCAGACTGTCACTGTGTCTATGCGGAAAAGGAAGACAAAAGGAACTCCATTTTGATCTGTACAAAGAAAAATTGTTCTGATTTGAGATGCTGTTAATCTGTAACTTTAGTCCCAACCCTGTGATCACAGAAACATGTGCTGTATTGAATCAAGGTTTAAGGGATTTAGGGCTGTGCAGGATGTGCCTTGTTAACAATATATTTGCAGACAGTATGCCTGGTAAAAGTCATCGCCATTCTCCATTCTCTATTAACCAGGGACATGATGCACCACGGAAAGCTGCAGGGACCTCTACCCGAGAAAGCCTGGGTATTGTCCAAGGTTTCCCCCCACTGAGACAGCCTGAGATATGGCCTCGTGGGAAGGGAAAGACCTAACCGTCCCCCAGCCCCACACCCATAAAGGATCTGTGCTGAGGAGGATTAGTAAAAGAGGAAGGCCTCTTTGCTGTTGAGATAAGAGGAAGGCCTCTGTTTCCTGCATATCCCTGGGAACGGAATGTCTCCGTGTAAAGCCGCCTATTCATTCTATTCTGATACAGGAGAAAACCATGCTGTGGCTGGAGAGGAGATATGCTGGCAGCAATACTGCTCTGTTACTCTTTGCTACACTTAGATGTCTGGGTAAAGAGAAACATAAATCCAGCCTATGTACACGTCCAGGCACGGTACCTTCCCTTGAACGTATTTATGACGCAGATTCCTTTACTCACGTTTTCCTGCTGACCTTCTCCCCACCATCACCCTGTTGTCCTGTCATACTCCCCTTTCCGAGACAGTGAAAATAGTAATCAATAAATAGTGAGGGAACTCGGAGACCAGTGCCGGTGCCGGTCCCCTGGGCCCACTGTTCTTTCTCTATACTTTGTCTCTGTGTCTTATTTCTTTTCTCAGTCTCTTGTCCCACCTGACAAGAAATACCCACATGAGTGGAGGGGCAGGCCCCTTCAGTTTTGGGTTGAATAATTTATAATTGTTCAGGAATGAGACAGTTTAACTTTTTCTTTTAAATAATTTTAGATTAACAGATATTACATACAAATAATTCCTGTATATTCTTCACCCAGATTTCCCAAATGTTAACATTTTATCACATTCTTTATCAAACAAACATTGGGTACTTATTTATGAACACGTCAAAATCTGCACAACGAATAGTATATTCATTTATAATGATAATAAAAGCACTTTAGATATTTTTGCTGGCAGTAGGAATAAAAACACAAGTTAAAATCCAAATGTAATTTTAATTTTATTCCCTTTATTATCTCTTTTCTTTAGTAAAAAGTTAGGTCAGTTGTTTCTGTTTATTTATGCCCCTACCAAAGTAGAAACAAAGTCCAATCCTGGGAGGATGTAGCTTGAATAACTGGTTTAGAAATGTACTTATTAGGAGTCCTTACTAGGGATTTGTGGATAAGTGTTTAAATGGTTGTGGATAACAGTGCATACAGGACTCTCAAGTATTTCTATAACAGATATTTGAGCTTTCTACTCTATATTTGACATTTAGACAAAAAATTAAATGAGTTCCTTAGCCTATCACTTTTTCATAATAAAATTTAAATTATGAAGGCCCGTCCAATCCTAAAATGAGGTGAACTTCAGGCAGGGTGATGGCACTGTAGGCAGTGTGGTAGCACGTGTATGTGTGTGTTGGAGGTGGGGAGAGGGTTACAGTTGGAGCTGAGAAAGGGGTTAGGTTCTCACATAAACTCCAGGAACATAGCCTTGGGCCAGATAGAGGCAAACAATATTTTCCTACCTAATTGGTGGGAGGCGATGGCCCAGAAATAGGGTCTAGAAAGGAAATGGAGCTGCAGAGGTTAACACCTGAAGGGGTAGACCAACTATCGCAACTAAACTGGTTACCATTTGAGTGCACACTGTGTACCAGACACCATTAGACACTGTGCAGACATTCTCTCAACTTTTCACAACCATGACAGATTGTGAGACAGGTTGTGGGTCTTCAGGAGTCGCGGGCATCCCTCAGACACAGCCGCACGGCCTGCATGGAGTTCGCTCCTGCCGGCGACCACTCGCTTGGGCTCCAGCATCTGCTCACCCCTACGCACCCTCCCATAAAGGGTGGGGCGCAGCAGGCCTGAGTGAGTGGAGTTCCTAGCTTCCAGCACTCCAGTTCCCGCCTCATTCACTCGCGCGCCCCTTCCCGCGAGGAGTCGAGAGCTACGGGCTGAGAAAGGGAGACACCGCAGCCCCAAGAACCGCGAAGGGGTCTGAGAAATATCTTGCTTCAACTGCGCTCCAGCCTGGGTGACAGCGCAAGACCGTCTCTATAAAACAAAGGAATATGAAATGTGGCCGGGCGCGGTGGTTCACGCCTGTACTCCCAGGACTTTGGGAGGCCGAGGCAGGTGGATCACTTGAGGTCAGGAGTTTGAGACCTGCCTGGCCAACATGGTGAAATCTAGTCTCTACTAAAAGTACAAAAATTAGCCGGGTGTGGTGGCGGGCGCCTGTAGTCCCAGCCACTTGGGAAACTGAGGTGGGTGGATCTCTTGAGCCTGGGAGGTGGGGGTTGCAGTGAGCTGAGATCCGGCCACTGCACTCCAGCCTGGGCTACAGAGCAAGACTCCGTCTCTTAAAAAAAAAAAAAAAGAAAGAAAAAATACAAAATGAAATGTGAAATTTCAGTGATTCTGCATTAGGAGTTAATTGTTCCTTCCCTTTAATACCACTTTTCCCCTTCTTTTTGGACAAGGGACGCTGCATTTACATTTTGCATTGAGCCTCACAAATTACACAGCTAGGCTTGCTGCTGAATATGGCAGTGAAGGACATGCCATACCAGTCCTGGAGCTTAGTCACTGCCCAGCCCCTGTGGATCAAATGCAGTGTCAGACTTTTTATCCCCGAAATTGTCCAATCTATGGAGCAAAGGAGGGTAAAGAGACCAGATTACTTTTAAGGCACGCTCTATCCTAAAATGATGTAAACTATAAAATAAGATTAGACAGCTTTACTGGTTTTTGCGGTGTATCATATGAAAACAGAAGTTTGAAACCAGAAAAATCAAACCAGTTCAATCCTTTTAAAAATTTCTTTGGGAGGCCGGTGGCTCACGCCTGTAATCCCAGCACTTTGGGAGGCCGAGGCGGGTGGATCACCTGAGGTCAGGAGTTCGAGACCAGCCTGACCAACATGGAGAAACCCCGTGTCTCCTAAAAGTACAAAAAAAATTAGCAGGGCATGGTGGCACATGCCTGTAATCTCAGCTACTTGGGAGGCTGAGGCAGGAGAATCGCTTGAACCCGGGAAGCGGAGGTTGCGGTGAGCCAAGATCGCGCCATTGCACTTCAGCCTGGGCAACAAGAGCGAAACTCGGTCTCAAAAAAACCCCAAAAAACCGAAAAACAAAAAAAAAAAAAAAAAAAAAACTTTCGAAGAAAAAAACCCCACCAAAACTAAACTAGTTTACACAGCTTAATCTTAACTCAGGAACTGGTCAAGGAACTAATGGTGGGGGGCGGGGGGGATGTAGGAGGAAACTGAGGAAAAAGAAATCCTCCACAGGTCTCACTTGTGACGTGTTAGCCAATTCCTGGGAGGCAGAAAGGGTGAGCTCCCGAAACAGGTGCAAAGGTGGGGAGGAGACCTGGGCGTGCTACGGCATAACACTGGCGTCCAGCACAAAGGTTACAAACTTCGAGTAACCTTCCCGAATATTTTCACACACAAGGGTTTTGAAGGCAAAAGTAGACACAGGATGACAAAACACTCATTCACACATCCCACCCGTCACCCTCACCACATACTCGGGACCAGGTTTAGAAAGCCGGGAGACAGCTCAGCAAACGCGAGACCACCGGAAACGACCCGGGCTGAGAGGCTGTTTCCTCGCAGTTCTCATCCACTCACAATTGGCCGCACATTTTCTTTTTGTTATTTGCCGAAATGTTCTTGGCTATTCCACTTACCGAATCGGTCACGCAAGCAAAACACCAGAATCCCGATCTCCGCCTACGCCAACCCCGCCTCCTCAGAGTAAGCGAGCTACAGCTCCGCCCACGTTAGTCGCTCCTCCCTGCGCGGCGAGAAAAATGGCGCCCCCGCGTCGCGACTCCTCCCACCGCTCGCCTTCTTCCCGGGAGCTAAATTGTATCGCGAGATTTCTGCCTATTACTTGGGCCGCGGGGATATCCCACCCTTTTCTTCCGCGCGGTTGGAGGACATCGGCTAGTTTTCCGGAGTTGGAGGACTGAAATCGGGAGGGTGGTGTGTGCAAATCTCCAGGACTCACGCACCAGGCCAGTCGCAGGTTTTGGCCCGAGGCCTGGGTTACGGGCAGCAAGTGCGCGGTTGGGGCCGGTGTGAGGCGGTTTTAGGTAGGTTGCCAAGAGGGCAAGGCCGTCTGGGCTTGTTGGGCAGGGGAGGCATTGCATATCTGGGGTTTCGGCCCCTGCGTTGTTCCGGAGGATTGAGCCTCGGAAGTCGGGCCGAGAGGGTGAAGGGATCACGGTTGCAGGCCACTCCGCGCCACGCGGCTGGTATGAGGCCCACAAACGTGGTTGTAGTGTGGGCGGGCTTCATTATATCTTGAGATGGAGGTGTTAAAACGTGTTGCAGACAAGTTTAACCTTCTTAACGTAATTTAAATGATTTAACCTTCATATGTGAGGTACCCATTGATAGCGCCGGTTTCCTGGAGGTTAGGCGCTGCCCGGAGAGACGCGCTGGTGGTCACAGAATTAGCTCCGGGTAAAGCGCCGCTTTCTGCCCACGTGGCCTCTAAGAATTGCAGAATTCCAGCGGATGCATCGACACCCAAGTAGGAGTGTCTTCTAAACACTAAGAAAAAAGTGATTCTTGAGCTAGCTTTATTTTGATAATCCCTACTTTAAAAAAAAATTAGCCACAGGTATACCATTAATGCATGGGGCCAAATTTTTGTTGAATTCCGTTTTTGAGCATTCGATATATAATGACTTCGTAGAATCCTGTACTTAAGCTAATAAGACGTACTACCAGAAAATTACCACAGGGGTCCATTGGGCATTTAACAAATCTGAGCTCTTGGTAACCTTATCGTTTTATATTTTAAATGTTTTGCTAGTTCATCCTAGGATTTATATGCAATGACTCATGTTAGGTCCCAAGAAGCTACAGAATGAGACAAGAGATTGACTAAGGCAAGTACAATAGTGAAATAAGTAGTTATCCTTCATTTTTGTTGCCATGCCTATTTTTTTTTTTTTTTTTTTTCTGAGACAGGGTCTTGTTCTGTCGTCCAGGCTGGGGTGCAGTGGTGCAATCTCGGCTCACTGCAACCTCCACCTCTGCTCAAGCGATCCTCCCGAGTGGCTGGGAGCACAGGCACGGGTCACCACACCTAGGCAGTATCTTAAGAATTTTTTGTAGAGACAAGGGTCTCCTTGTGTGCTGAGGCTCACTACATACAACTTCCACCTCCCAGGCTCAGGTATTCACCTACCTCAGCCTCCTGACCACAGGCGCGCGCCACTAGCCCGGCTAATTTTTGTATTTTTTGTAGAGACGCAGTTTCACCACGTTGCCCAGGTTGGTCTTGAGCTCCTGGGCTCAAGCGATCCGCCCGCCTCGACCTCCCAAAGTGCTGTGTTACACAGGCCTGAGCCACCCAGACCAACCTGTTTTTTCTTTTAGCTCACAAGAAGGAATCTTTTTTTTCTTCTTTTTTTGGCATGTTGTATACTCTACCATGGGGATGAAAACACAAAGAATTATGATAGTTTATTGAAAAAGGTTGAGAATTCAGAACTTGTCAGTTTCCACCAATAATGGCAAAGATACAATATGACAAAGTTCAGTTACTTAAATGAATCTAGGAATGAAGAATCTAGGAATTATAATGGAGAGGTGATCAGGAGTTTAAAATGGTCTGTTGATTGGAGATCCTTTTCTTGGTTTATATAGGGCACATTTTGCCTTAGGAATTCCCTCTTTGATCTTGGAAAATGGTTTTTAATTTTACATTAATACTGTATTGGTAATTGCACGTTAGTAAGTGGCTAATGATAAAACTGTATTTTCTACTTATATTGAAAGATGCTTTTTTTGGAAGTGACAGTACTTTTTTGGAATCTTGTTCCATTGAATACATTTAGAGGGTAAAAACTGAAAGAACCTGTGAATAGAATTTCTGGATTTCTTTTTAAAGAAATTGATCTGAAATGGATAAGAAGCTTAACCCCGGCAAATGATTTTGCCTAAAATCAGTGGCATAGTCTGACCATGTTGAATACTATAGTAGATACTGTGTCAATATTTAGGGAAGCTTTGTCACATTTACTAAATTTCATAATTTCAGAAAACTGTTATAAAACAAAGCAACTGATGGATAAATCAGGAATAGATTCTACCGACCATGTGACATCTGATGCTATGGAACTTGCAAATCAAAGGTAAGTGGGTTTTTACTGGAGAACTGAGTGGATTCAATCATATTTATTGTATCTGAATTATGAGAAATTATTTTATATAATGAGTGACAGTAAAGATGATTTTCAGGAATTGGGAAAGAAGGAAAACCAGATTTCACTGACCTTCCAGGTTTATCTAGTTAATGTAGATTGATAATAGCATTGCAAATACTTTAAATTCAAAATGTGAATATATTATAATGGGACACATTCTTCAAGAAAAAAATGTATTCTTTGGGTCATATTAGCATCTCTTCCAGACTACCTCTTCCTGTTTCTGTCTGGTAGGCTGTGTTTGTTTTACTCACTCTTAGCAGTGAACCGAACCATACAGCCTTTGTGGAGCTCATACACCATACAGCCTTTGTGGAGCTCATACGTTATCTTGAAAGATACATAGTTTTTTTCTAAGCTGAGCATAGTGGTGCATGCCATTAGTCCTAGCTAGCTACTTGGGAGGCTGAGTCAGGAGCATCCCTGGAGTTCCAGGAGTTTGAGGTTGCAGTGAGCTGTGATTGCACCACTGTACTCCAGTCTGGGTAACAGCAAGACGATGTCTACAAAACTCTTTTTAATAAGAGCTGTAGCTTTATGAGCTATTTAAGTAGGATGGTCAGCAGAAAGGCAGCTGGTTCTGAGCCCATCCTTTAAAAAATTTTTAATTCTGGATATGTTTTCCTGAGTTGGTCTTGGAAGAAATGTATATTTGGGATTGGGTATTACTGGTAATAAGCATTCAGTAAGAAAGGAAGAGGAAATTAATTTTTTCTCATTTTTCTAGTGATAACTCTTCTGATAGCAGCTTATTTAAAACTCAGTGTATCCCTTACTCACCTAAACGGGGGAAAAGAAACCCCATTCGAAAATTTGTTCGTACACCTGAAAGTGTTCACGCAAGTGATTCATCAAGTGACTCATCTTTTGAACCAATACCATTGACTATAAAAGCTATTTTTGAAAGATTCAAGAACAGGAAAAAGAAGTACAAAAAAAAGAAAAAGAAGAGGTACCAGCCAACAGGAAGACCAAGGGGAAGACCAGAAGGAAGGAGAAATCCTATATCCTCACTAATAGATAAAAAGAAACAATTTAGAAGCAAAGGATCTGGCTTCCCATTTTTAGAATCAGAGAATGAAAAAAACCCGCCTTGGAGAAAAATTTTAACGTTTGAGGTGAGTCAGCATTTTATATATATGGCTACACATAACTCAGATGCCCAAAATGATTTGTTGGGCAGTTTAGAATTGTCTCAGATATGCTGGGAACACACTGTCCGCAATTTCGATACTCTTCTATACTGACTTCCCCCTAAAGTCCACCCCATCCTTTAACTGAAACTTGACTTGCATCTCTTCAATTACTACACTTTGGCCAGATTTAAAAGATAGTGCTCCAAGGCTCTTTGTATAAAATGCTTTGATCTCATCCCATCTCAGGTCTTAAACACAACCCTAAAACTCAGTAGGGATAATAAAAGCTCACATGAAATTATTTTTGCAGTAACCTAAACCAAAACCACACATGCCTTATGTTCAGTGGATACATTCTTAAGGCCTAGGTATTTCTAAGCCAGTCATCTGAAAAATACCCTAATACTTTGGAGTAGACTTTTTTTAAATATTTGAGAGTTGTATGTTGAATGAATGCAGAGTTTCAGGTTCTTGCCAGAACCTGAAATTTTATCTGGGAGGATTAATACATGTTAATCTCTTCAGTTAATCTCTTAAGGTGATTATAGTAAACATTAGAAATCTTATTCCTGTTTTTACATTTTAAAATGCCTTTAGTAAGTCCCAGGCATGACAAGATATGTAGTACTTCACTTTTCCTTTGTACCAGCTTAGGTAAGTTTATAATTGTAATGTGAATTTTAATAAACAGCATTTGATATATCCACAAGTGGGGAGTAGTTAAGATAGCAAATTCAGAGTCTTTGGTAAGGGGGGTGTTGAACATTGGCACTTGCTGGGTTGTGAAAGAAAAATCTTGACATACTTACGGTGTTTTTAATATATAGCAAGCTGTTGCAAGAGGATTTTTTAACTACATTGAAAAACTGAAGTATGAACACCACCTGAAAGAATCATTGAAACAAATGGATGTTGGTGAAGATTTAGAAAATGAAGATTTTGATAGTCGTAGATACAAATTTTTGGATGATGATGGATCCATTTCTCCTATTGAGGAGTCAGCGTAAGTGGAATCATATGAAATAGGTTATAAATTAAATTTTATGTTAATTGCTTCATTTTTTGCCTTTCATATAGTTATACTTAAATAATGAACAAAGATAGAGTATGACACTTGGGATTATTACAGTTGAGCCAAGCTTAGCACACAGTACATCTAGAATTCTCTAGAACACAGCATTCTCAAATTTTGTTTGCTTGACTAGTATTGCAGTTTCAGTTTTCAGAGTGGAATACACAGCTAATGAGGTCATAGAAGATTCTGTCATCTCAATGATGATAAATTTTAATGTTACAGAGCAGAGGATGAGGATGCAAAACATCTTGAAGATAATGAATGTGATATCAAATTGGCAGTAAGTGACTTTTCTGTTCCATTTTGGGAAGGCAGGAGTTGGTTGGTACAGAAGGAATTGTATTTAGTTTTTCTCTTACACTTCATTTAACTTTTGAAAAGCTCAGTAAGTTTACTGCAGGAAATGCAGGAAGGAAAATACTAATTTTTTAGAGACTTGATAAAGAACATGGGGTTTCCAGTACTATTTTTAATAATTAGCATTCTGATACGTAATATTGCTAGTTAGGATATCAAATGAAAAAATAAGCAGATGTTAATTTAGATTTTTAACATCTACATGTAGTCTCTAGGTTATCTGAAGTAATCCAGGGCACTCAGCTATATGTAATTACTAAGCCATTTGAGTTATTGCTTAATCCATTATTTTTTTGTTTGTTTTATGCAGGGGGATAGTTTCATAGTAAGTTCTGAATTCCCTGTAAGACTGAGTGTATACTTAGAAGAAGAGGATAGTACTGAAGAAGCTGCTTTGTCTAAAAAGAGAGCTACAAAAGCTAAAAATACTGGACAGAGAGCCCTGAAAATGTGACAGGATCATGAATGTCAAAGGTGAAGCATATAGAAAAAACAACTTCATAGAAATGAATAAAGATGATAAATGTGGATATATATATACCAGTCTGGTGGTGAAGAAATGCTGAAACCCAGAACTTTATAACAAAAAATTTCAACCCTGTGAAGAAGTTTGTGAAAGAAACTTGTGAAGTAGTAGTAATTAGAAAAAAAACCCATTAAAACACCAGAGAAAATACATAGAAAAATTTGAAAAATTGTCAGTTGATTTCTGAATAAGAGCTTGCAGGTGTCCTGTGAGTATTAAAACAGTGAAGTGTAGTGATTTTAATTTTGAAAAGAAAATCTTAGACAAAATAACTTGACACCCAACCATCTTCAAGAGGGTATTTGAAATGCTCTTATTCCAGCTTTGTTCAGACCTGACAAAAGTGACCTCTCAGATGTTTAGTATTGTAATAACCTCATTTCCCTTCCCAAATTTAGAGTATCTTTAACACTTTTTTTCTTTTTTTTTAAAGACAGTTCTTGATCTGTCACCCAGGCTGTAGTGCAGTGGTGCAGTCTTGGCTTACTGCAGCCTCTGTCTCCCAGGTTCAAGCAATTCTGCCACAGCCTCCTGAGTAGCTGGGATTATAGGCGTTAGCCACCACACCCAGCTAATGTTTGTATTTTTAGTAGAGACAGGGTTTCACCATGGTCTTGAACTCCTGACTTCAGGCGATCTGCCTGCCTTGGCCTCCCAAAGTGCTGGGATTACAGGCGTGAGCCACGGCACCTGGACTAATATTACTTTGAACTACCATTTTCACTTTATGAGTTCAAGAAAAGGCATACACATTTATTTAACATGGACACACAGGGAGAACCACAGTGATTACCCCAATGTTCATTATTTTGATCACCACGATAAAGCTGACTATGTAGTGCATTTTAGGACTGCACTTAACGTATGTTTTTGTTTAATGTGGACAAAGACTTATGGATAGGTGCAAAAAATAAATCCTCTTTTGCAACCCAGAACTCATTGTTCAGTATGAGTTTTGATACATATAAGAAGGGATATTATGATACCTGAGACAGTTATAAAGGTTGGTTCCAGGCCAGGTGCAATGGCTCAAGTCTGCAGTCCCCACATTGAGGTGGGAGTATTGCTTGAAACCAGGAGTTCAAGACCAGCCTGGGCATCTCCACAAAAATTGAAAAATTAGCTGGGTAATGGGGCATGTGCCTGTAGTTGGAGCTACTCAGAAAGGGGAGGTTGAGGCAAAAGGATTGAGCCCAAGAATTGGGGGCTGCACTGAACTTTGATGGCATCACTACTTCAGCCTGGGTAACAGACAGACACTGTCTCTTAAGAAAAAAAGGTTGATTCTAGGACTGTAGAATAGATAAACAGCATGGATATGAGGGAAATCCTCAGCAGTATTAATTTTGCATTCCAATTTCATGTTGATGATATATATGATGGCTTTTTGTTTTAAAGGCTTTTATCTTGAGAACATGATGTCTGGAGTTAAAGGTATGTCTCAATTTGAGTTGTCACATATTTATGTGTAGGAAACAGTATGTTGTCAGAGCAAGCAAGTTTCATTTTATTCAGAGACATTTCTACCATACTTTTAATTCCCAATTATATTGATTTCTGAAAAGAATCCTAGATTCTTCTTAGTGATGTGTCAGATTCATTTTAGTTGCAAGCATTAGAGGGTTCTGAATTTGTTAGTTTGTAGCAATAATCGGAACTTTGGAATTCCTACTTGAAGCCTACAACATTATTTTGTATTAATGTACAATCTAAAGTGAGGTAGAGGATTTTATGGTTTAATGCAAATATAGTATAATAAAAGATTACATAGGTCATAAGAATTCATAAATTTGAATGATGCAGTTTGATTAAAAGTTATATAATGCCAAAGTCATAACTTACAGACACATTTTCCTGTATTTTATAATGGATGACAACTAATTTTGAACCAAGAATTAAAATTTGCTGAAATCTTTGAAATGGGAAAACAACATCCTCTATTTGCAGTATTGAAGTTCATAACAAGAGTTATGCTTTAAACTTAAATCTTAAGTTTAAATCCTTTTCCTTTGGCTCATCTACAGGAGCTACTTGATGGTATTTATTTTTATTTTTCATTCCTCTGGCTCCTAAGCACAATGTGATCGTGAAATTATTGTTTTTGTAATTAAGGTGGTAGGAAGTTTTTACAGTTTGCAATATTGTAAGAGCATATTGCAGTTTCTGCTCATAATTTTTTCCTATGGAGTGTTAGACTTTGTTATTTATATATATAAATACTAGCTGGGCACAGTGGTTCCTGCGGTCCCCAGCTACTCTGGAGGCTAAGGCAGGATAATCCCTTGAGCCCAGTGGTTCGAGGCTACAATGAGATGTGATCCTGCCACATCTCACTGTAGCCTCAAACCCTTGGGCTCAAGCGATTCAGCAAGAATCACACGATTTTCAAAAGACACGGCAGATCCTGTGTCTTTAAAAAAAAAATCAAAACCTTGTAAATAGTGGTTGAGGTCTATCCCGATGGGGCTTTTCCTGTAGCCTGCACGTCGTTGGAAACGCCTCATAGAGTAACTCTGTGGTTTTACTTTACTCACAGGACTATTGTTAGGTCTGTGGGAAGGAACTACAAGACAGTTGCTAAAAGTTTTAACGTTATGAAAAACCAGATAATTTACTTTTTTACCTTAGGTATTGGCAAAAACCACACATCTGTACCATTCTTGAGTGATCGCTTAGGTAAGTTTTAATTGGTGACAGTATAATCTTTTGGGAAATATGATTACAGTTCAGATGATGAATTTAACTGTTCAACTGCTGAATGATAAGGGCATGAACTAAAACTTAATTCTGACAGAGCTGGATGTGGCTATATAAAACTGGATCTTAAATTTATACTTGGGTATTAGTTTTAATAACTGGAAATATATCCTTTCTAAATCTTTAATTGGTACTTTCTATAGGAATGAATGTGATTTGAACTCATTCATGTTGAGAGGTAAGTAAAATATTTAACTTTTAATAATCAAGGACTCAAAAGATGAAAAATAGAAATTAAGTACACCATCCCAGTATTTCAGGTATAACACAGAATTAGTAAGATACTGGCAAAAATGTTACTATATATTTGTATAGAGAAGGAAAATGAAGAGACTGCATGTCTAGACCTACCAAATGAAATTACCTGTGTTCTTTGCATTGTTATTGAACTGGCAGTTACACATACTTCATCCTAAAGTCACGTAAACCTGTATGGATATGTTGAATCAATAGGGATATGAATTACATTAAAAGAGGTTTGTGTAACTGGCAGTTTGAGCAACAATGAGCTTGACATTTGTAGTCTGCTTGATCTGTTAAGTTACATGTATATATTCCATTTGTAAGTTATATGGAGACTGGGCAAAGATTAGGAAAAGACTAGAGTTGTAGCTTAAAATACAGTTAATGCAGCTTATTACAGTGACAATTAGGAAAAAAGGTCAAATTATTGTACTTGTTAAAGGAACTTGAATTTGAGAGGTTTGTGAAAGCTTTTCTCAGTAGAAACATTGCACATTTGGGAATACGAATATGAATATGAATGTGACAGTTCAGTCATAATTGCACTGCATGGTATCTGCACTCAGCAGTTTACTCCTGCTAGGGTGTTCAAAGGTCAGTGCTATAGAAATTCAGTATCTGGCATCGTTGGTTTTCTTGGCTTTGTGCTTGTTAAACCTGGTATTTCTATTGATACAGTATTTGTATAGGTTCCTCAGTGTTCAGTTTGATATACTCTAAAATAGTAAGCAATGCTTTTCTTTTTCCAGGGTGTCAAATTGAGAACCAGGCAGATCCCCACCACCTACAATCAAAAGGTAAGATTCTCTGTTAATATTGATTCTGCTTGTTTCCCTCTATTGGTAGCATTGCCAGTGTAACAAGGACTTCGTACAAATACACTACTAAGCTTTAAAGAAACTTCTACAATGCCTCATTCTAGATGAGAATGGGCACTGCTGATCATCATGGTGTCTAAAAATAGTTAATGTGGCTAAATTGAGACAGGTTATGCTTCCATCACAGTATGCATATTGCAGTGGTGACAATGAGACCTGTAACATTTTGCCATGCTTATGAGTAAAATATGTGGGAGAAAAATGTTGACTTTTCAATATTAGAAACAATAAGTTTCTATTGTTTCTGTTATTATTTCGATATTTCGGTATGTTTCTGTGTTATTCTATATGTTATTTCTAAGTTTCTATGTTATTATTTAGGTAATAAGGAATTTTCAGCTCTTAATAGGACCACTTTCTTTTGTATGCTATCTATTGACTGAAACATTGTAATGTACATGACTGTGTCTTGGATCAGGTGTCAAAATATTTGTACTTTGTACAATTCAACTTCTAGGACCCTAAAGCAAATTGGTTGAAGAAATTAGATCCCAAAGATTCTTGGTAAGTTAATTCATTACTTAAAAGGCCATGCAGGTTATTTTGTTGAATACTAGCTTTTTTCCAAGTGTTATTTTAGGTTATATTTATTTATCTAGTAATGCTATTGCAACATTTGTCACCACTTAGGAGTAAAAAAAGACTAGACTTACATTATTACGTGTTTAAACTTGATTATTAATGATGTTATGATGATGGGCGAAATGTTCAACTGCTCTGAATGGGCTGAATGAAAATGGCCTTTCTGAACATCCATTTACATTAAATATTCCATTGTATTTGAAGGTAAAAGTTAACCAGAAACATGATCATAGAGCAAATTCGGATGTGAATGGGCATGGGATTATTGTTTTTAAAAAATACCTCTTGGTTTAAATAGCTATTTTAAGCATGGAATTTTCAATACCTTAGTTGGGGTGCCAGGTTTTAGGGTAATTTGGAACCTAAGCAACCTCATTCTGAAAGATAGATTTCTGTACTTAATAAATATAAATTTGAAATTCACATTTTTCCATAGGTGAATTTTGAAGTCTTCATCAGTATACCCCTATTAAAAGGAGATGACAGAAGCCAAAGTAATTATGGCAAGTAATGGTTTTTATCTTAACCATAAGTTATTTGCTCGAGGGTATAATGGTCATTACCAAGGCTTTTAGAATGCAGTTTCTCATTTGCTGTGGACATGACCATAAAAAAATTTCCCAGTAGGTTTTCTATCTGCTACTTTGCTAGCAATCAGCTTATTGGGAACAGTTGATTAACTGTAATAGAAATGCAATGCAAATACAATGTGAATCACGTGATTTTTCTTTTTTTTCTAATAACTTTCATCAGTAATCAATGAAATTTTAAAATTCTGCTAGATCTCTTGAATCATGCAAATGTGCTTTGCCTTTGTATTGTAACCCTTGTGGGATGCTAATAACCAAGCAGTCTGTAGTAGAGTTAACTCGGGCGGGTTCTAGGACTCATTCATGTTCACTCGCTGTACAATCATCTCTGGAAATGTAAAATTTACTTTTATATTGTTATGTAGGGCTGACAGGACAGCTGGATCAGTTTCATTAAAAAGGTATGTATGCATTAGAAAAGACATTTGTATAGGTCATTTCAAAGAGGGCTCATGAGGCTGTGAAACCCAGAGCTCTTAACGCTGTGACCAAAGATGGAAGTTCTCTATAGGATGCCATAGCACTCCTATGTTTGGTGCTATGTTTTCCTGAGGAGATATAAAACTTAATAATCCACGATTGTTGCCATGTGAGAGTTTTAAAGGTTAATCAGAATTTCTCTTCTTCAGGGCAAACTTGAAGATCTTTTGACTCCAGCTTTTTAGGGGATCTAAAGTGACCTTGATGGACAGTGGAAGAAATCACAACATGGAATTCCTTGAATAAAAATTTATTGACTTTAAATAATTTTGTCTAATGCTACATATACACAATTTAAAAAAACCTCTTTACACTGTTTCTAGAAAGTCAGCATGTATTTCTGGCTCGAAGTTTCTCTAGTGTTTTCTGTGGAAGGAATAAAAATTTAGTAGTTTCAGTTGTGTACTTCAGGCTTGAAAAATTAAGTCCTTCCCCCTCAGTTACACTCACCTTATGGAATTCTTTTGCCCTTGCTCTGTTTTGGGCATAAGCCTCTTGTTTTGCTTTTTCTTCCTTTTGTTGTTTCACTTCAGCTAGTTGATTGTATAACCTGTAAAGAACTTACATAGAATTAGAGACAAACATTGCAAAAAGTAAATCACTAAAAAGAAATAAAATAAAAATAAAATCAACCTTACCTTAGACCCCTTTGGTGCCTTAGAACCTGTGTGGTCTTTCTGTCTTCAGGAAAAGATGCTCTGACTTTATTCACGCCCTTTAGACGACTCACAGATGAACCTGAGGAAAGAAAAATGAAATCAAGTTGTAATCAGAAGGCTTTAAACATTTCAGGGAGTTGTTGAAGATTTTAAAAATTCAACATACTTATAGATGGTTTCTCTTTAACTGTTTTGATATGAGAATTTTCAGAGAGACGAATTTTATTCCTTATTTCTTTCTCCCTCTGGTGGGATCTCTCCATAAATGATTTTTTTCTCTTTATAAATGCTTCTTGTAAGCTCCCTGGTATAGGTGTAAACCTTTGAGGGGTGTCTGTTGGGGGGAAAAGAAATTTATGACAGAAATAGGCAAAGTATCTACTTCCCATTAGAAGTGTGGAGACCATTCAAGGCTTACCAGTAGATGCTGTCCTTGGTTTTTCTATGGAAAGTTCTGATACAGCTGGATAATCTGAGGCTTCTGTTTCTGATACAAGAGGCAGAAACTCACTCACCTAATGGCAAGAAAGTTGCATGTTTTATTCAACTTTTTAAATGCGCACCACCCCCGCCGCCTTTTTTTTTTTTTTAAGAAGAGGTCTTGCTCTGTTGTCAGATTAGAATGCAGCGGTATGATCACAGCTCACTGAACCCTCAGTTTTCGCTGGGTCTACAGAGACCCGCCACCATGCCTCATTTTTGTATTTTTTAAGGGACTGGGTTTTGCCTTGTTGTCCAGGCTGGTTTTGAACTTCTGGGCTCAGGCTCTACTGCCCTCACACCTCTAGGCCTCTGTTTAGATAGCTTTATTCTTACTGCCTCCCTACTACTGTAGTAAAATTACCAGTTGTTCTGAAGTCATTTTTCAATATCTTGGAATAAGTTTACGTAAAACTTCCAACTTGGCTCTGTAGTTCTGCCAGTCTCGGAGACAGCCATAAATTGGAGTGGGGATTAAAAGAAAATGCAGTGGTTGACAGAATAGTGAAAAAGTTTAAGACAAATTGAGAGTTGGTGGGGGTGTCAGGTTAGTTAAATCCATAGCATAATTCCCTCCAATGAGTACCTTCTGATAAGTTGTAAGAGACAATCAACTGGTTTGCTCATAATGGGATAAAATGGAATGCTTATTAAATTTACCCGAAAGCTGTTTTTTGCTTCATTCTCACTCTTTTCTTCTAGGGTTAAATTTGCAAAATCCGTTTCAGCAATACTGATATCACTGGTGCTTACTAAAGTTAGTTCTGGTTCTTCCATTATACCATGGCCAGTTTCTGTTTCCTGTGAACCATAATTAAAAGGAAAACCATGTCAAAATAGCCTTAAAACACTTAAAACTAATAATTTTGTATATAATGCATTTTTTGCAAGTGTATATAAATGTGAAAATGGAAGAAAAAAAGCAGTAATTGGCAAAGAGCAACAGATCAGATTTCCTTAGGTTTCTGTAACTCCAGCATTCAGTTGTAGAAATAACTGGAGTCAACTTTGGGGAAGAGATGAAATAGTGTGACAATGGACTGCAAGTATCTACCACAATGATTACAAACCTAAATGCTTGTAGTGTTGGGCAAAAAATACAAATGCAGGTTGGCTGGGGCTGTGCAGAACTGTATCCTGTCTAAAGGGAGCAGGGGTTGACTGGGCTGCTGCCAAATGTGGGCCACTGACAGCCAACAGATAAGTGTTTCAAAGGAAGTATCTAAACACTGAACAAGAACAAAAGCAGCCAAATAAAACTAAACATGGTTTAGTTGTAATTCTTATTTTCAATCTGTTGTGCTTATTTGTGGAAGGATAAACTGCACATACTGCTAGATGAAAACCAGTCACCAGTTGACTGGTGTTAAAAGCAAGCAGATTATAAGTTGCTTAGTATGAGGAGCAGGGTTCCAATACTTATTCCAATAATGGATTACATTGCATGAGGCTCAACACTGAAAGTGCTGAAGCACAGGCAGAACCACCATTTTTCAGGGAAGTTGAAGAAAGGATATCTGAATTGGAAGAAAAAGGATCTTTTGTAAAATACAATCAGAAGACAGCTTTCAAATTTTTAAGTTTCTTCATTATGCTGGATATTTCCAGTGATCACAAGGAATATTAACAAGTAGTTTTGCTTGTATTTTGTTTCAGGTTTTTCCTGCCAGGCATTGTGGTGTGTCCAAGCTACTTGGGAAGTTGAGGCAGGAGGATCCCTTGATCCTAGGAGTTTGAGTTCAGCCTGGGTAACACAGTGAGATCTTCATCTCTAATATTAAAAGAAAAATATTTTTTCCCAAAAAGGAACTTAAATGTTATTTATACAACACTGATTTCACTTACCCAGACTGGTATAGAGCTCTGTAATGAAAATGATCCAGAACTTGTAAAAAGCTCTGATTGACCTAGTTGAGATAGTTTTTTGGTGATTTTTGGAATGTCTGTTTCAGCTAAATTCTCAAAACATTTTTCATTTTGAGTAGTTAAGGAATATGGTGCCTGAATTGAAGTCCCCATCTCCACTGTTCTTACACATAATCGAGAGTCAATTTCCTCTATCTGTGGATTTATGTCTAAAACCCTACAGGTTTCATTTTTATTATCTTCAGTGAGTCCTTGACTTTGTAAAATTGTAACAACCCCTCTTTTTGATAGTTCTTCAAAGCCCATCCTTAACTTTCTGCTTTCTAGTTGGTGTTTTATTGAGCACTCACTAGAGTTAGAACCACATGGAGTGCTATGCTGTATATTTAACTGATCAAATACATTAGCTTCATCAGATGAACTGTAGACTGAACTTAAGTTTCCTACAGAAAGCTGGAAATGAACACTTTTTTTCTTGTTTTGTAGTATTTCAGTATGTTCTTCAGAGGAGTAGTTCTGATTTTTCATGCCTTGGGAAGAATCCCTTGCTTCAATGCTAAAAATACTTGGTAGATCAGCATGCTGGCTCTCCTCCTGTGAAGAATATTCTGGCAGAAGCTGTTCAAAACATTGTTCAGATCCTGCATTAAGAAATTTAAAAACCAGTTAATCATTGTTACATGTTGTAAAACTTGGATACTGACGGTCTAATAGTTTGTCATTCAATTGCAATTTTAGGCATACAAGTTGATGTGTATAAACATGAATACAAAGATAAGGATGGTCACAGTGATTTCTCAAACTACAGCTCACGCCAAGTTTTTTTTTCTATTAATATTTAATAAGGGCAATATGGCTATAAACTGAAGATGTTCTTCCTTTGTAAGAAGTGAATATGATTTTAATAATAGAAAAGAGAATAAAGCATCCATGTGTCTTTATGTGTATATATAATTTGTACATCCTTGTGTATCTCAATTATGTATGTATGTATATATAATTGTACAAAAAGCTCAAGAAGAATACTTGTTTTCTATGTTGTCAGGCTGGTCTTGAACTCCTGGGCTCCAGGGATCCTCCTGCCTCAGCCTTCCAAAGTGCTAGGATTACAGGCGTGAGCCACTATACTTGGCCTAAGAATACTTAAAACGGCTGGGTGTGGTGGCTCACGCCTGTAATCCCAGCACTTTGGGAGGCCAAGATGGTGGATCATCTGAGGTCAGGAGTTCAAGACCAGCCTGACCAACATAGTGAAACCCTGTCTCTACTAAAAATAGAAAATTAGCTGGGTGTGGTGGCACATGCCTGTAATCCCAGCTACTTAGGAGGCTGAGGCAGGAGAATCGCTTGAACCCTGGAGGCAGAGGTTGCGGTGAGCCGAGATCGTGCCATTGCACTCCAGTCTGGGTAACAAGAGTGAAACTCAGTCTCAAAAACAAAACAAAACAAAACAAAAAACCAAAAAAAACACAAAAAAACGTAAACTGTTAACTATCATATAATGATTGAGGTAAGGAAATTGAGGAACAAGAGGCAACACTTTTCCTTTTATTTGATAATGTTCAGTATTGTTTAAAAAAAATGCATGTATTACTTCTGTAATTTAAATACTTTTTTTAACACCCAGGATAGGGGTGAGAACAGGGGTGAAGACAAACCAAGAGGTGCTAGGCTTAATTTCTAAGGAAATGGATGTAAAAAATCATGAAAACATTAACTTTTTCTGACTTAGTCGTACATACCCCCAATATTTTCTGTAGCAAAACTGTGTGCTCCAACATGAGCCAAGTTAGTGTCAGGTTGCTGATTCGGGCTTGTGTTAAGAGAAGAATGCATGCTGGTCCTCCTCAGCGCTGTGAAATAAACTGTACTTTTGGATGATCCAGTAGCACAGTGGCTTTCAGATGAAGAATCTGATCTCTGGCAGGAAACAAAAGGGAAAGGCTGAAATACTGATTAGGTATTACCAATTGACTCAATAATCACTGTGTTCCTTTGGTATTACTCTTCCTTCATTACCACTTTACTATGACAGTAATGATTTGCTTTTTCAAATCCGGTTCTTTTCAATCAATATGAAAGAGACTTTAAAATGTCAGGCTATCAGGAAGTGGAAGCAGAAAGACTCAGGTTTAAATCTCAGCTCCTTTGACTGTGTAGGAAGATACTTGAAATTTTGCAAAATTGTATTTACCTTACTGTTTAAATATGTTCCACAATTAAAAGTTGTTATCAAGCCTTTTATGGCATCATACTCCCTAGGTGGAGATAGGTAGATAGGACAAACAAAATTCTAATGCAGCTGTTTTCTTTTTTTTTTTGGAGACGGGGTCTCACTATGTTGTCCAGGCTGGAGTGCAGTGGCATGATCTCAGCTCACTGCAACCTCTGCCTCCCAGGTTCAAGTGGTTCTCAGTCTCCCAAGTAGCTGGGACTACAGGCATGCCACCACACCCAACTGATTTTTGTGTTTTTTTTTTTTAGCAGAGACGGGGTTTCACCATGTTGGCCAGGCTGATCTCAAACTCCTGTCCTCAAGCAATCCACCTGCCTCAGACTCCCAAAGTGCTGAGATTATAGGTGTGAGCCAACCACACCTGGCCCAATGCAGCTGTTTTCAAACTTGGTTCCACATTAGA